CAAATGCATTCAACAAAGCTAATTGAATCACGTGAAAGTCAAACGCATTCTATGATGTGATTTTTAGTCCGAAAACTAAGCCTCACAAAGATATGAATCTAACCTAATTCTATACAGAAAATTTACCAAGAATTAAGAAAGAAAATTAGATTAATTAATCAAGAATCCACCTAATTAATTAACCTAAATGATTGTTTTAACTAAAACAAACAAAAAAGCAAATTGGAATCCACCAATCAAGAATTTAAGTAATCCAACTTAAACAAAAGCAATAAGAAATATTATTATGAATGTGTGATTAAACTTGTATATTATTCGAAGATTACAACCCTATATTTATAGACTCAATCAACTATCCTGATCCCACTTGAATTAGAATTCTAATCCCCTAACAAAAACCCACGGATTGCATAACTTAATCAAGTTTAGATAACTTTGATTTAGTTATTTAATCCTACTTAAACTCTAACTACTCTTAAGATAAAACTTGCCTATTTTATCCTAACTCAAGCTTGCATTCCAAGTCCTAATCAACTTAGGAATTCACTTTGCTAAAAACAAATCCTAATCAACTTAGAAACTTGCTTAGCTAAAACTAGTCCAAATCAATCTAGGAACTTATTAAGCAAAAATAATTCCTAAAGCAATTAGAAATCCTAAGTGCTTAAAACAAGAAAAACCCTTTCAAGTGAAAGGTAAAAACTTGTAAGCAAAAACCTAAGTAAAGAAGACTCCAATATCAAGCTAAACCAAGGAAGGCTACAAGGCAAACCGTAGCCTTACTTTGATGACCCATGAAGTGACCATGAATTGCGTGATTTGAGTCCAAATGAAGGGCTAATGTTTCTTCATGTTGATTTATCAAATCTTCCAAGTTCGTCCTCGTATCATTCTACAAAGCTAATTGAATCAAAAGAAAGTTAAACACAATCAAACAAAGCTAATTGAATCTAATGAAAATCAAACACATTCAATCAAAGCTTTTTGAATCAAATGAATGTCAAACACATTCAACAAAGTTAATTGAATCAAATGAAAGTCAAATGCATTCTACAAAGCTAATTGAATCAAATAAAAGTCAAACACATTCAAACAAAGCTAATTAAATCAATGAAAGTCTAATGCATTGTACAAAGCTAATTGTATCAAATGAAAGTCAAACATATTTAAACAAAGCTTTTTTGAATCAAATTAAAGTCAAATGCATTCAAAGAAGCTACTTAAATCAAATAATAGTCAAACACATTCAAACAAAGCTTTTTGTATCAAATGAAAGTCAAACACATTCAACAAAGTTAATTGAATCAAATGAAAGTAAAATGCATTCTACAATGCTAATTGAATCAAATGAAAGTCAAACGCATTCAAACAAAGCTAATTGTATCAAATAAAAGCCAAACACAATTAAACAAAGCTTTTTGAATCAAATTAAAGTCAAATGCATTCAAAGATGCTATTTCAATCATATGAAAGTCAAATGCATTGTACAAAGCTAATTGAATCAACTGAAAGTCAAACACAATCAAACAAAACGTTATGAATGATATGAAAGTCAAATACTTCAACAAAGCTAATTGAATCAAATGAAAGTCAAATGCATTCTACAAAGCTAATTGAATCAAATGAATGTCAAACACATTCAAACAAAGCTAATTGAATCAAATGAAAGTCAAATGCATTCGACAAAGCTGATTGAATCAAGTTAAAGTCAAACACATTCAAACAAAGCTTTTTGAATCATATGAAAGTCAAATACATTCAACAAAGCTAATTGAATCAAACGAAAGTCAAAATGCATTCTACAAATCTAATTGAATCCAATGAAAGTCAAACACATTTAAACAAAGCTAATTGAATCAAATGAAAGTTAAACACATTCAAACAAAGCTTTTTGAATCAAATGAAAGTCAAATGCATTCATCAAAACTAATTAAATCAAATGAAAGTCAAATGCATTCTAAAAAGCTAATTGAATCAAATGAATGTCAAACGCCTTCAAACAAAGCTTTTTGAATAAAATCAAAGTCAAAAACATTCAAACAAAGCTTTTTGAATCAAATAAAAGTCAAATACATTCTACAAAGCTAATTCAATCAAAAGAAAAGTTAAACACAATGAAACAAAGATAATTGAATCAAATGAAAGTCAAACACATTCAAACAAAGCTTTTTGAATCAAATTAAAGTCAAATGCATTCAAGGAAGCTATTTGAATCAAATGAAAGTCAAATGCATTCTACAAAGCTTATTGAATCAAATGAAAGTCAAACACAATCAAACAAAACTAATTGAATCAAATACTAGTCAAACACAATTAAACAAAGCTTTTTGAATCAAATGAAAGTCAAATGCATTCAACAAAGCATATTGAATCAAATGAAAGTCAAATGCATTCTACAAAGCTAATTGAATCAAAAGAAAGTTAAACAATATCAAAAAAACCTAATTGAATCAAATGAAAGTAAAACACATTCAAATGAAGCTTTTTGAATCAAATAAAAGTCAAACGCATTCTACAAAGCTAATTGAATAAATTAAAAGTCAAACACATTAAAACAAAGCTAATTGAATCAAAAGAAAGTCTAATGCATTCTACAAAGCTAATTGTATCAAATGAAAGTCAAACACTAACCAAAGTGGTCAAGGTTCGAATATTCCAGTCCAAGAGTTGAACGTTAGGGAATTGATTTTGTCCAAGTCTTTCTTCGATTCTACTCCTATGGATTTTGGTGTGCACGGTCCATATAATTCCTCAACTGGTTGCACCATATTGAGCGTGACTAATTACCTTGATAGTGGGGGAATGTAGACGGATTTAATGCAGACCTTATGGAGAGTTTCAAGCTGGTTTAACTTCGTAATAAAGGAGCTTGAATGAAGGCTTAAATGAGGGGGTTACAAAGGCGCATTTCAAGGCTGCTTTGGAGGACGAATTTTGACAGCATGTTGGAGTCAATTTGCTGGACGTTTTGGGAGTTATTCTTCCCTTGTTATAAGCTTTCTTAATTAGAGTAATAATTAGTTGTAATAGGGATTAAGTTGGACGGTTATGAGCCACTTAATCTACCCTTATTTTCAGTTTTGTTATTTCTGATTTGTTGCTTGTTTTAGCTAAGTGTAGTGGTAATTAAATGATGTACTAAAGCAATAAATAACATGCTAATTATCAATAAAAGACATTCCAGAAATTTGCAAGAAACACACGAGTGTATGATCCAAATTTGACTTGTGCTAGTCAGGTTTGATTTTCCAAACTTGAGAGTTATCTCAATTTGAAGAGTTTGTGTTTTAGTGAGAGTTCCTAAGACTTAAACTGGTAGTTGTCGAATAGGTGAGAGTTCCCTAATCACTACTACGCCCAAACAAGTGAGTAAGTGTTCCTCATTGTTATATCCTCAAGGTTAATGGTGAGAGTTCCCCTAATCCTTCTTAGTTACTCCACATTGATACTTCTAATTCAACTAAACACAACACTCATTCCAGACCGTTTGTAAACAAGTTTCTCACCTTGCTTACACATCATTTGGCTCGAAGTGGTTTTCAAAAGTGGATTTGAGGAGTGGTTATCATCAAATTCGGATGAGGAAAGGAGATGAATGGAAGACCGCTTTCAAAACCAAGCACGGCTTGTATGAGTGGCTCGTGATGCCATTTGGACTCACCAACGCACCTAGCACTTTCATGAGGTTGATGAACGAGGTGTTGCGGCCTTTCCTTGGCAAATTCGTGGTGGTGTACCTTGATGATATCCTTATTTATAGCAAAGAGGGGGACGAACATTTGATACATTTATTTAAAGTTTTTACGGTTTTGAGAGAACAAAAATTGTATGGAAAACTTGAAAAATGTAATTTTATGCTATATGAGGTCACTTTTCTTGGTTACATTGTTTTAGGAGAAGGTATGAAAGTTGATCCTAGCAAGATTGAGGCTATTGAATCATGGCCTAGTCCAAAGACACTCACGGAGGTCCGTTCTTTCCATGGATTAGCTTCCTTTTATAGGAGGTTCATTCGTAATTTCAGCACTCTCATGACCCCTATCACCGAGTGCACAAAGAAGGGCTCATTTGAGTGGACTCCTCACGCTCAAAAGGCATTTGAAGTGATCAAAGAAAAAATGTGCAATACACCCATCCTAGCACTTCCAGATATTTCAAAACCATTTGAAGTTGAGTGTGATGCAAGCGGAAAGGGGATTGGTGCCGTGTTGATTCAAGAAGGGCGTCCTATTGCCTACTTTAGTGAGAAATTGAGCCAAGGCAAGCTGAATTATTCCACCTATGATAAGGAATTCTATGCAATGGTGCGAGCTTTGAATCATTGGTCGCACTACTTGAGACCACAACCCTTCATACTTCATTCTGACCATGAATCTTTGAGGTTCATCCATGGCCAAAAGAAGTTGAATTCGAGACATGCAAAGTGGGTGGAATTCTTGCAAACATTTAACTTTTCATCAAAGTACAAGAGTGGAAAGGAAAATGTTGTTGCGGATGCCTTATCTCGAAGGCATACTTTACTTGGAGTCGTTGAGGCGAAAGTCCTTGGGTTCGAATTAATCAAAGGATACTACAAGGAAGATGGTGATTTCAAGGTCATTTTGGAGAAATGCGTGAGTGGTAGTTATGAATTATTTTCCTTACAAAATGATTTTCTTTTTAAGGGAAATAGGTTATGCATTCCCAAATGTCCAATTCGAAGCTTGTTGATTCATGAAGCGCATGGAGGAGGTCTAGCAGGCCATTTCGGAGTTCAAAAGACTATGGAGCTTCTTCAAGCTCACTTTTATTGGCCTAATATGCTATCCACTGTTCACCGTGTTGTAGCACGTTGTTGTACTTGTCAAAGGGCAAAGATGGTGTTTCACAAAGGTCTTTACAAGCCATTGCCAATTCCGGAGAGACCTTGGGAAGTCATAAGCATGGATTTCATTGTGGCTTTACCTAGAACTCAAAGAGGTAAGGACTCAATCATGGTGGTAGTTGATCGTTTTTCAAAAATGGCTCACTTTGTCCCTTGTCATAAAACCGAGGATGCTGCGAAGGTGGCGAAATTATATTTTGATGGGGTTGTTCGTTTCCATGGAATCCCACGCACCATTGTTTCAGATCGAGATCCAAAGTTCCAAAGTCATTTTTGGAAGTCCTTGTGGCGTCTTATGGGAACCAAGTTGTTGTTTTCAACCTCACATCACCCCCAAATCGATGGCCAAACCGAGGTGGTGAATAGGGTACTAGGTTCTTTGCTTAGGACCTTGGTTAGTAAGAGCACCAAAGATTGGGATGTCAAACTCGCTCATGCCGAGTTTGCTTACAATAGAACTCCTAGCGCTACTACAAAGTATTCTCCTTTTGAAGTAGTCTATGGTTATAATCCTTATGTTCCAATTGATCTCATAGCGTTGCCTCGAGACAAGTTCGTGCATGGAGGTGCCAAGGAACAAGCCGAGTTCATGGTGAAAATCCACAAGGAAGTAAGGAAGAACATCGAAAAGGCTAATGAAATCTATAAGAAGCAAGCCAACAAGAGAGTAAAAAACGTGAGAAGTTTTGAAGTTGGTGACTTAGTGTGGATTTACATGAGGAAGGAAAGGTTTCCCAATCAAAGGAAGAACAAGCTCATGCCACGAGCCGAGGGTCCTTTTGAGATAGTGGAAAAGATCAATGACAATGCCTACAAGGTAGATTTGGGAGGAAAGTAAGGCGTCTTAAGCACATTCAATGTGGGGGATCTAGCACCGTACTATAATGATGAGGAATTGAGGGCAATTCCCTTTTTGAATCTACAAAAGTGGTCAAGGTTTGAATATTCCAGTCCAAGAGTTGAACGTTAGGGAATTGATTTTGTCCAAGTCTTTCTTCGATTCTACTCCTATGGATTTTGGTGTGCACGGTCCATATAATTCCTCAACTGGTTGCACCATATTGAGCGTGACTAATTACCTTGATAGTGGGGGAATGTAGACGGATTTAATGCAGACCTTATGGAGAGTTTCAAGCTGGTTTAACTTCGTAATAAAGGAGCTTGAATGAAGGCTTAAATGAGGGGGTTACAAAGGCGCATTTCAAGGCTGCTTTGGAGGACGAATTTGGACAGCATGTTGGAGTCAATTTGCTGGACGTTTTGGGAGTTATTCTTCCCTTGTTATAAGCTTTCTTAATTAGAGTAATAATTAGTTGTAATAGGGATTAAGTTGGACGGTTATGAGCCACTTAATCTACCCTTATTTTCAGTTTTGTTATTTCTGATTTGTTGCTTGTTTTAGCTAAGTGTAGTGGTAATTAAATGATGTACTAAAGCTATAAATAGCATGCTAATTATCAATAAAAGACATTCCAGAAATTTGCAAGAAACACACGAGTGTATGATCCAAATTTGACTTGTGCTAGTCAGGTTAGATTTTCCAAACTTGAGAGTTATCTCAATTTGAAGAGTTTGTGTTTCAGTGAGAGTTCCTAAGACTTAAACTGGTAGTTGTCGAATAGGTGAGAGTTCCCTAATCACTACTACGCCCAAACAAGTGAGTGAGTGTTCCTCATTGTTATATCCTCAAGGTTAAGGGTGAGAGTTCCCCTAATCCTTCTTAGTTACTCCACATTGATACTTCTAATTCAACTAAACACAACACGCATTCCAGACCGTTTGTAAACAAGTTTCTCACCTTGCTTACACATCAAACACATTCAAACAAAACTTTTTGAATCAAATTATAGTCAAATGCTTTCAACAAAGCTAATTGAATCAAATGAAAGTTAAATGCATTCTACAAAGCTAGTTGAATCGAATGAAAGTCAAACACATTCAAACAAAGCTTTTTGAATCAAATGAAAGTCAAACACATTCAAACAAAGCTATGTTAATCAAATGAAAGTCAAATGCATTCTACAAAGCTAATTGAATCAAATGAAAGTCAAACACATTTAAACAAAGCTTTCTGAATCAAATGAAAGTCAAATGCATTCAACAAAGCTAATTGAATCAAATGAAAGTCAAATCCATTCTACAAAGCTAATTGAATCAAATAAAAGTCAAACACAGTCAAACAAAGGTAATTTAATGAAATGAAAGTCTAATGCATTCTACAATGCTAATTGTATCAAATGAAATTCAAACACATTCAAATAAAGCTTTTTGAATCAAATTAAAGTCAAATGTATTCAAAGAAGCTATTTCAATGAAATGAAAGTCAAATGCATTCTACAAAGCTAATTGAATCAAATGAAAGTCAAATGCTTTCAACAAATCTAATTGAATCAAATGAAATTCAAATGCATTTACAAAGCTAATTGAATCAAATGAAACTCAAATACATTCAACAAGTCAAATGTATTCTACAAAGCTAATTGAATCAAAAGAATGTTAAACACAATCAAACAAAGCTAATTGAATCAAATGAAAGTCAAACACATTCAAACAAAGCTTTTTGAATCAAATTAAAGTTAAATGAATTCAAGGAAGTTATTTGAATCGAAGGAAAGTTGAATGAATCAAACAAAACTAATTGAATCAAATGAAAGTCAAACAAAATCAAACAAAGTTAATTGAATCAAATGCTAGTCAAACACAATTAAACAAAGCTTTTTGAATCAAATGAATGTCAAATGCTTTCAACAAAGCTAATTGAATCAAATGAAAGTCAAATACATTCTACAAAGCTAATAGAATAAAATAAAAGTTAACACATTGAAATAAAGCTTTTTAAATCAAATGAAAGTCAAATGCATTCAACAATGCTAATTGAATCAAATAAAAGTCAAATGCAAACTACAAAGCTAATTGAATCAAAAGAAAGTTAAATACAATCAAACAAAGCTAATTGAATCAAATGAAAGTCAAACACATTCAAACAAAGCTTTTTGAATCATATGAAAGTCAAACACATTCAACAAAGCTAATTGAATCAAATGAAAGTCAAATGCATTCTACAAAGCTAATTGAATCAAATGAAAGTCAATTACATTCAAACAAAGCTTTTTTAATCAAATGAAAGTAAAATGCATTCAAACAAAGCGATTTAAATCAAATGAAAGTCAAATGCATTCTACAAAGCTAATTGAATCAAATGAAAGTTAAACACAATCAAACAAAGCTAAATTAAATCAAATGCTAGTCAAACACATTCAAACAAAGCTTTTTGAATCAAATGAAAGTCAAATGCTTACAACAAAGCTAATTGAATCAAATGAAAGTTAAACACAATCAAACAAAGCTAAATTAAATCAAATGCTAGTCAAACACAATCAAACAAAGCTTTTTGAATCAAATGAAAGTCAAATGCTTACAACAAAGCTAATTGAATCAAATGAAAGTCAAATGCATTATACAAAGCTAATTGAATCAAATGAAAGTCAAACACATTCAAACAAAGCTTTTTGAATCAAGTGAAAGTCAAACGCATTCAACAAAGCTAATTGAATCAAATGAAAATCAAATGCATTCTACAAAGCTAATTGAATCAAATGAAAGTCAAACACATTCAAACAACGCTTTTTGAATCATATGAAAGTCAAACACATTCAACAAAGCTAATTGAATCACATGAAAGTCAAATGCATTCTACAAAGCTAATTGAATCAAATAAAAGTCAAACACATTCAACCAAAGCTTTTTGAATCAAATGAAAGTCAAACGCATTCAACAAAGCTAATTGAATCAAATGAAAGTCAAATGCATTCTACAAAGGTAATTGAATCAAATGAAAGTCAAATACATTCAAACAAAGCTTTTTGAATCATATGAAAGTCAAACACATTCAACAAAGCTAATTGAATCACTTGAAAGTCAAATGCATTCTACAAAGCTAATTGAATCAAATAAAAGTCAAACACATTCAACCAAAGCTTTTTGAATCAAATGAAAGTCAAATGCATTCAAACAAATCTAATTGAATCAATGAAAGTCTAATGCATTGTACAAAGCTAATTGTATCAAATGAAAGTCAAACATAATTAAACAAAGCTTTTTTGAATCAAATTAAAGTTAAATGCATTCAAAGAAGCTATTTAAATCAAATAATAGTCAAACACATTCAAACAAAGTTTTTGGAATCAAATAAAAGTCAAATGCATTCAACAAAGCTAATTGAATCACATGAAAGTCAAATGCGTTCTACAAAGTTAATTGAATGAAAAGAAAGTTAAACACAATCAAACAAAGCTAATTGAATCTAATGAAAGTCAAACACATTCAAACAAAGCTTTTTGAATCAAATGAAAGTCAAACACATTCAACAAAGTTAATTGAATCAAATGAAAGTCAAATGCATTCTACAAAGCTAATTGAATCAAATGAAAGTCAAACGCATTCAAACAAAGCTAATTGTATCAAATGAAAGTCAAACACAATTAAACAAAGCTTTTTGAATCAAATTAAAGTCAAATGCATTCAAAGATGCTATTTCGATCATATGAAAGTCAAATGCATTGTACAAAGCTAATTGAATCAACTGAAAGTCAAACACAATCAAACAAAACGTTATGAATCATATGAAATTCAAATACTTCAACAAAGCTAATTGAATCAAATGAAAGTCAAATGCATTCTACAAAGCTAATTGAATCAAATGAATGTCAAACACATTCAAACAAAGCTAATTGAATCAAATGAAAGTCAAATGCATTCAACAAAGCTGATTGAATCAAGTTAAAGTCAAACACATTCAAACAAAGCTTTTTGATCATATGAAAGTCAAATACATTCAACAAAGCTAATTGAATCAAACGAAAGTCAAATGCATTCTACAAATCTAATTGAATCAAATGAAAGTCAAACACATTTAAACAAAGCTAATTGAATCAAATGAAAGTTAAACACATTCAAACAAAGATTTTTGAATCAAATGAAAGTCAAATGCATTCAACAAAACTAATTAAATCAAATGAAAGTCAAATGCATTCTAAAAAGCTAATTGAATCAAATGAATGTCAAACGCCTTCAAACAAAGCTTTTTGAATAAAATCAAAGTCAAAAACATTCAAACAAAGCTTTTTGAATCAAATAAAAGTCAAATACATTCTACAAAGCTAATTCAATCAAAAGAAAAGTTAAACACAATGAAACAAAGATAATTGAATCAAATGAAAGTCAAACACATTCAAACAAAGCTTTTTGAATCAAATTAAAGTCAAATGCATTCAAGGAAGCTATTTGAATCAAATGAAAGTCAAATGCATTCTACAAAGCTTATTGAATCAAATGAAAGTCAAACAAAATCAAACAAAACTAATTGAATCAAATGCTAGTCAAACAAAATTAAACAAAGCTTTTTGAATCAAATGAAAGTCAAATGCATTCAACAAAGCATATTGAATCAAATGAAAGTCAAATGCATTCTACAAAGCTAATTGAATCAAAAGAAAGTTAAACAATATCAAAAAAACCTAATTGAATCAAATGAAAGTAAAACACATTCAAATAAAGCTTTTTGAATCAAATAAAAGTCAAACGCATTCAACGAAGCTAATTGAATAAATTGAAAGTCAAACACATTAAAACAAAGCTAATTGAATCAAAAGAAAGTCAAATGCATTCTACAAAACTAATTGTATCAAATGAAAGTCAAACACATTCAAACAAAACTTTTTGAATCAAATTATAGTCAAATGCTTTCAACAAAGCTAATTGAATCAAATGAAAGTCAAATGCATTCTACAAAGCTAGTTGAATTGAATGAAAGTCAAA